ATACACACATACATACACATGTGTATAGGTATACATGATATGTATGGTGTTTTTGTTCTTTTACCTTTATTTCTCTCATACTGTCTTGTATTGATGTAGTAATGTACAAATCTTATCTTAAATATTTATTAACATGAATCTGCTTTTAGTTTGTATTTTATAACATGTTGTTATTTAGAAACTATTAACTTCTAACAGCTTCCTGATGTTTGTTTAAGGAAACAGATTTAGTTCATTTCCTGTTTTAATCAAATTTTATGAAAACCCACCCAAACCTGCAGCAGTTCATGCATGACGTCATCGTTTCAAGTTCAGGTTTGTTTCTTCAGGTGAAAATTCACACCGTAGATTTGTTTTCTCATGAAGTAAACAACAAACACGCCTGTCTGTCTGACGGACACACAAACTTTACACAGTCTGACGGACACACAAACTTTACACAGTCTGACGGACACACAAACTTTACACAATCTGTCACGGACTGAACCCGACTAACAGTTGGAGGAAACCACACCGTCTCCAAACAAAACAAAACTGGTTGCTGGTTCGGGTCCGGTGTCAGTAAATTAAGTGATGGTTCTCCTACCTGTTCAGGTGAGCTGAGGGTCCACAAAACCGTGTGTCTACCTGCTGAAACTCAGAGTTTCACCTGTTGGGTGGAGGTTCTCAGGCTCAGACACAAGCCCCGCCCACTCCGACTCCTTTTCCGGGTAGACAGGTTAACCACGCCCCCAACAAGTTTCGTTCAATTATCTATTAATTTATTTAAAACCCTTTATTGAGCCTTCATTTAGACTTGGAGCACAAGGCAGAGGCTTTTTTAAGTTTTAAAACACTTTTTACATGACAATGTAAAATATGATCACAGTTCCATGAGTGAGTCAAATGATCTTTGTGTTAACTTTAAAATTATTTTATAAATCCAGTGAACAGAAGGTTGTTATTTATTTATTTTCCCGCCCTCTGCTGGACAAACAGAGTACTGCAGGTCCTTATATGGTCATTGTCCGACCTCCAGCTAACCCGCCTCCTCGCGCTGGCTGCGGCCGGTGGAAAGCTTCYGGGATCGGGATGAGGTCAGCCCACAGAGTCGGTCCCGACACGAACCTCAAACGGGACGGTCCACTTCCGAATCATGACCGGACCTTCAGSCCGCAGCTGAACCGAGCCGACATGGACTAACAGGAGCGGGAAGAGTCCGCTTCAAGTCCGGGGTGAGTGGTCCGAAGAAGCTCGGCGGTTTTGCGAGCGGTGACCCGGTTAACTAACCGGAGGAGGAGCGGAAACTTGTTAGCTCCGCTGCTAACTGAGGAGGTTAGCTGCTGGTTAACTACCTGCTGCTTTTAGTTAGTTATAAACAACCAGAGGCTTTAAACTGTTAGTTATAAACAACCTGAGACTTTAAACTGTTAGTTATAAACAACCAGAAGCTTTAAACTGTTAGTTATAAACAACCAGAGACTTTAAACTGGAATATCAGCTGGAAACAATTTTATTTATTCTCCCAAACAGGAACAGAAAAAAAATCATTAAACCCCCAGAGTTAACTAACTAACTAACTAACTAACTAACTAACTAACTAACTAACTAACTAACTAACTAACTAACTAA